CCCGACGCCCCAACCGCCCCATCCGCGAGGCGTTCCCCGAGAGCACTGCTAGCACAGCCAAAATCCACACCGACCCCCCGCATAAAAGTGGGATTGCATGCTGGAGGTGGGCGGGCATGTTCCGAGGAGCTCCTTGTAAAGTTCGGCGCGGAGGCGACAGACGCGGGCTGGCTCGAAGAGGCGGCTCTCCCGCGGCCCGCCCCCTTCCCTTTACGTGCACGGCGGGTCGGACTCAGCACTTGCACAGCGGAGGTGGGCAAGAGCGGGGAAGAATACACCGTCGCGACTCGCGCCGAAGACAAAACTGACGGACTGACAATACCCCGCGCAATCAATTATGCGAGTCGCTCACTACTGGCCATCAGTTGTGCTGACTGAGAGCCTGCAGCAGGCCATCGCGCCCCCTGGGGCCCCTCGGCGCGGGGCCGTGCACGGCCCCCGCCTTCTCCACCTTCACGAGGTAGTCCACCAAGATCGGGTACAGGGAGCTGGCGGTCTGCATCCTCGGGTTCAGCTCGAACGACAGCACCCCCTTGGCATCCTCTCCCACGGCCCGCGCCTTGCGGCACTTGCAGTGGAGCACCTCCGCGGCGATCGCCTGCGGCTTCTTGACCGCGACGACCTGCTGCCGGCGCTCGAGGAAGACCTCGCGCCCGTCCGAGTTCGGCGCCGAGCCGCCCGCCGCCGCGAGCTCCACGCTGCGCCTGATGATGGCGGCGAAGAGGTGGACGTGAGGAGGCCCGCGGGCCTTGCGACCGACCGACCCCCCGCCAGCGACCTTCTCGCGAAGCCTCTTGCTCTCGTTGTCGTAGTCGACGCCGCTCGTGCGGCACACCTGCCCCAAGCTGCCCTCGGCCTCGCTGATGAACATCGCGGTGTAGCACGCCCTCGAGCTGCGCCGCCTGGCGGGCCGTGGCGGGGGCGAGCTTCGACACGGTCACCAGCAGCTGGTCGGCCTTCTCCTTTTGGTTGCCTGCCCCGCCCCGCTTCTGGCGCGGCGCCGACGGAAGGGGGCGAGGCTGTCCGCGCCATCCAGGACGGAATTGCCACGTCCGTGGCCACGGCGGCGACGCTGCCGCGCGAGGAAGCACGCCCCCGAGAAGGCAGCCCAAGGGAGATGAGCCCGAAGATGGCTACAGAAGTCGTCGCAGTCGGCCGCCTCGTACGAGCATATGCGGCTCACATGGCCCCATCGGTTCAACTCTGGTCGCAATCGCACTCGGCCCTCTCGCCCCGCAGTGCCCCCCCGAATATCGAGCCCTCAAGGTGAGGATACGCCGTTTGCCGATTCCGCACAGAAAAAAACTTCTCACACACCATGCATTCGCGGGTCGGGCAAAGCAGAGCAGCTAGCTTATAAACACCGTGCTTGCGCCGCAAGTGCTCAGTGAGCCCCCGCTTCGCGTAGAAAGAAGCGCCGCGTTGCCCCCCCCCACCCCCCTTCCGCCCAGGGGGCAGGAGGAGGGGGAGGGGGCACGGGGTCGAGGGAGGGGTCGAGCCCACCGGGGCCCCCAAGGTCCGAAACACCGCGGAATGGGACAGGGGGCGCAACCGCGACCGCGAAATGGTGACGACGCAGACGTCGGAAGTCCAAGCCAAGCGAACAAAAGCATCAGCTAATTCTTTCTCCTCGGCAAAGAGCCAGGGGCAGTCAGCCACGCGAGAAAGCACGCCCCTATCATCGGGCATGATCTCGATCACTCCTCGAACGTCATCCTGGATGCGTTCGGCCCAGGGGCTCGCATACTGGCTAAGACCCTCTTCCGCGCGCGGCCGCTTTCCCGCAGGTTCAAAAGCAAGGGCCCCGAGAAGCATAGCGAGAACGTGCGAATGCACCCTAGTCCGAGAGGCCCAGGATTGCTACCAACCGAGCCCACGGATTCGAAGCTCAATTTTGCACGGCACGAACTTCCAGAAGGCCAAAATCTCTAGAGAACTCAAACGGGCAATGACCCCCTCTTGTTCGTTACGTTCGCAGGCAGCTCCGTGCATAGCGATCTTACAGAGGGAGGCGAGACAGCGGTCAAGGAGCGAGAGCAGGCGGGGGCTGGAAGAAGAAGAAGAAGAAAGAGAAAGAGAGAGAGAGAGAGAGAGAGAAAAAAAAAAAAAAAAGAGAGAGAGAGAAAGAGAGAGAGAGAGAAAGAGAGAAAGAGAGAAAGAGAGAAATAATAATAATAATAACAATAATAAGAAGAAGAAGAAGGGAAACAACAAGTCCCGACATGATGGTATTTTGCACTAGACCGAACAGTACCGCGCGCCGCCAGCGCCGCGGCGTACTGGCAGACCAGAAGCCTGCCACGGCATAGAAAGCGGCACGCGCGGCAGCCATCCAACGCTCCACCTCAATCGCCGCCGAGGCGCCCTGCGTGACGATCGGGCCCAGGTACCTCGCCGCCTCCTCGACCCGTCCGTCCACTCGACCTCGTGCAATAGCTCGCTGGAGCCAACGTTTGCACTGCTGCGAGCCCGCCCCCTGAATCAAGAAGCACGCCACCTGCTTGTCGCGGTTCTGCGCCAGCCCGCTCTGCGAGAGGCACTCATCGAGGACGTCGTCGCTGCGCTTCCTCCTCCCGAGGGCATCGCCCATGTCGCAACCGACCTCCAAACGGATGACGCGGAACAGGTCGCCGGCGCACTTGGACAGCGAGACATCGATGGTGAAATCCTCAAAGCCTCCGCGCAGCAGCCCAGTAGTGCCCTCCTGCATCAGCTGCTGGGACCACTTGTGGACGGGAGTGACGAAGGCCGCCGCGAACGCCTGCGCCACGAACGGGCCCCCCATGAGGCCGCCCTCGCCCGTCTTCAAAAAGAGGGCCCCGTCGCTCGCGTCCACCTCCACGACGGAGAGGCGATGCAGATCGCGACAGAGCGTCTGGTTCTGCGGCTCCACCATGCCCCCATCAGAGATGACCTCGTCGAACCTGTCCCAGGACACGCTGCCGAAGGCGTTCGCCATGTCCTTGAGCGTTGCCACCCACGACCATCCGGATTGCCGGAGGCACCGCGCCAGCACCTGAGTCGCCAGCAGCGCGCCCTCCCAACGCCGGTGGGGAGCGAATCCGTGATCCTGCGGGGTAAGCTGCGCGTTGAGCCTGCACGCGAAATAGCCCTTCGCCACGGCAGGAAGAGAGTGAATAACTCGCCTGCCCTTCATTCGAGGCTTGTCATTCTTGGCGAGTCCGATGCCCGTGCTGCGGCGCCAGTACAGGGGCGTCATCTCGGCACGCCTGATCAGCGTCAGCGCGCGCAGAAGCGTCTCGTCGAACAGCTGCATTCCCTGCACCTCCCGCTCGAAGCCCACGCCGCGCGGAAGCTGATCCATGGCCCTGTCGGGCCAGAGGCAAAGATCCCAGAGCTCCAGCGCCGCCGTGCCCGTTGGGACAGCGCGCCGCTTCTTGGCACGGCGGACGTAGCGCCTCAGCTCCTTGCAGTCATCCTATGCGTAGCTGATGTCCGTGGAGTCGGCTGGCGGGGCAGGGTGTGTACCTGTTCTGCTGGCACGCCACTCGGCCCAGTCAATCTCATGGGCCTTCATGCCCCCCCGCGAGCCAGACTTGCCCCAGGCCTCGACCCACTCCGACCGCGGCAGCGGAGGGGGGCCCAGGCGACGTCCGTCTCGTCGCTTAGCGCCGAACCGACAATGTCCAAGAAGTCGTGAGAGGCGCATCGCCTCGGCCATGTCCCTCTTCTCCCAGGCCTCGTTCACCTCCTCCTGGAGATGGTTCCACCCGGCAGACCGACGGGCACGATACTCCGTCTTCAGCTCGGCCGAGAGAAACTTCAGCCCGGCCTCCGGCTCCAGTAGTCGACCCTCGTCAGCATCAAGTCGCGCCCGTCGGAGTCGAGAGCGTTCCTGGAGGAGTTCGCGACGTCTGGCACATCGCTGGCTGCGCTCAGCGCCCCCAGGCTGATCACCGAAGTGAGCTGCGCCCGCCGCCGTGAGGATGCGCTCCAGCTCCTCCCAGACAGCGTCAGGGGAGCCCTCCATCATGAAGCCATTGATGTGTTCGCTCCTCGTACGAATCAGCGTCAAGACGTTCTCCAAAAACTCCTTCTTCCCCCGCCCGTGGCGGGCCGCCTGCATCAGCCTCGTGCGGTCGAGGCGCGGCGGCGGAGTGGGCGGCAGGGACCAGGCGTCCTTCTCGTACGCCAGCTCCAGCAGGAGAGGGAGGTGGTCCCTCGGCGGCGCCCCAGGGAGCACTTGCCACTGCGCTCCCAGCCCATGCAGGACGTGGCTACGCAGCACACGGGGCATCCAGTCCTGCGGGATGAAGAAGTAATCGATGACCGAGCCAGACGGTGGCGTCCGTGACGAGTAGAAAGTGTACTCCACCTGGTCCGCGAAGGAAGACGGAGCAGCCATGTGCTGGGTGTCCAGGATGCCTCGCACAACCTCGCCAGCGCCACCGCGTCGTTGCTCTCGGCTGCGCAGGGGCCCGAGGGCCAAGGACGGAGGTGTCGTACATCCCTTGGCCTGCTTCTGGATCCCCAGGCCATCGTTCAAGTCAGCGTAGAACACTGGCAGCGTCCTCGCTGGGGTTTCCTGGAGTACTTGCTGCCACCAGTCCCGCAGGAGCCGCGCGGTGTACAAGTAGCGGCTGACCTGGAGCCGCTCCCGCGGCTGCGGCGGGAAGTAGAGCACCCCCACCAGGATGTCCAGGCAGCCTTTGCGGATCCGAGCAGCCAACGCCCGTCCTCCTGCTCCAGGAGGCGACCCCCACGTGCGGACAACGTGGCATTCGCGAAACCGTTCCCCGAGGGCGAGGAGGAGGAGGAGAAGGCCGACGACGGCGAGGAGGGAGGGATGAGGAGGAGGAGGAGGATGAGGCGGAGGAGGAGGCCGACGACGACGGTGAGGAGGGAGGGATGGAGGGAATGAGAGAGGGAGAGGAGGGGGGGGAGTCCCCAGGTGGCTGGGCGTTGAAGAGCAGCATCCGACAAGTGGGTTCCGAACCATGGCGCGCATCGTGAGGCGCCCAACCCGTGGGCCTTACGCCAGGAGGAGGAGGAGGAGAAGGAGGAGGAGCACGAGAGGGGCCCGGCTGGCGCGGGCGAGGGCGGAAGGAGGCGGGGCGCGCCCCGCGCCCTCGGCGGCGGCCGCGAGGGCGCGCGCATGTTTCTGGCCGCGGCGGGCCGCTCACGCCCTGGACTGCAGCACCCCGGGGCACAGGAAGCTGGCACAGGGCGCCGCCTCCTCGAGGGACCCCGCGAGATGCCGTCGGCCCGTGTCAGGAGGGCGCGCGGTGAGGGTGCCAGGGCCTTGGAAGGCCCGTGTGAACGCTTTTCGAACGAGGCCGGCTGGCGAGAGTCGCTGAGGACGGGCCGAAGGGGCAAGGTTGCCCATCCTTGCTGTGCGGGTTAACTGTAGATAGGGGGAAACCAAACCTACCTCGCTTTTGACCACCCTCGCTTCCAAGAGATACCAAGCGATGCCAAATTACGGCCTGTACTGGTCAGGCCGCTTGACGAGGAGGCGCGTGGTATGACTTGGTTTTTCCTGGAAGCGAAAGCGGGGTAGGTAATTCACGCTCTGAGTAGACCCAGACCCCCCTTGCGCCGTGGAAGAGCCACGGCGGGAGGTCCTGGGCCATGTTCTTGGCGGCGAACCCAGGGGGGGAAGTGAGCGACGATCAGAGATGGGTCTTACGCGAGATGGCACAGCGACCTTACGCGGCGGCTTGCGCGGGCCGCCAGCACGGCACGCCACGCTGGAGACGAGGGCGCTTACGCGCGACCTTACGCGGGCAGCTTGCGCGCCGATGTCAGCGCAAGCGACCCCGATGTTCTTCCGTCGCTCAGGTCAGAAGGAGGAGGCCTTCTCAGCAGGCTCGAAGTCCACCGGCCTTCTGAAAAGTTGTTTTAAGCCTTCCCCGAAGACACAGGGAACTTCTCAGAAGGCGCGAGGGCTTCTGAGAAGTCCCGCTGCCTGCTGAGAAGGACTTCTCCGTCTCACTTCCCCCCTCCCTCGCCGCCGATTTTCGGCCTCTGGGGGCCCCCGCAGGGCCCCAGGACTGTCAGACAACGACTCGGGAGGACGAGCCGGATGGGTCCAGACCTCCTCGGGGGGCCACGTCATCAAAAGAGGTCACGACGTCGGGGGTCCAGGTAGGGGGAGCCTGGCGCAGTGCAGGGAGCATCGAGCTCGAGTCGGCAGTCGTCGCCGATGCCTCGGCGACAGGCCCCCGATTGTACAGCCGCGCGTTCCTGGGCCGGGCGAGCTATCGGGCCACCCTCGGCGAGGAGTGGGCGACTGGGGGATCGCCGCCGACACATCGGCGACAGGCCCCCGACTGTACGACCGCGCGTTCCTGGGCCGGGCGGGCCATCGGGCCACCCTCGGCGCGGAGTGGGCGACTGGGCTCGCGCTGCCCCCTGCCGAAGAAGCCACAGAGTACCGATACCGCGACTCCCGGGACCTCTCCAGGGGGTGCGTCCTGGCAGGGATGTCGAGACGAATCCAGCGGCGGCGATGAGGGCCTCCCAGGAAGCCCAAAAAGGCGAAAAAGAGGAAAGGGTAGCGGCATGGGTAGTTGGCGCGGAGAGGGCGGCAGGGGAGGGGGGAAGGCTTCTTAGAAGAAGGGGGCTGCTGCTTAGAAGGCGCGGCGGGCCTTACGTAGATAGAGAAGGCCCGCGCCTTCTAAGAAGCAGGAGTGCTTCCAAGAAGCCTTCCACCCTCCCCCTACCCCTCTCTGCGCGTGGCAGACTGGGTACCTTTCCCTCGTCCGAAGCTCCTCCACCAGCACGAACAAGGGCCCCTCGCCGCCGCCGCGTCCGCGAGGCACGGAAGCGGCCAGCGCCGCCGCCGATGGCGTCCGCAGGAGCAGCCCGCCCTCGCAGTCCTCGCCATGGCCACCCAGCCGGCGGCGGCGGCGACCATGGCGGCGGCGGCGGCGAGCTCGCGGGCTGCTGCTGCGGCGGCGGCGGCGGCGGCGGCGGCGGTGGCTGCGACGGCGGCGGCGGCGGCGACCACGGCGGCGACCACGGCGGGGCGCTCGCGGGCTGCGGCGGCGATGGCGACGGTGGCGACGGCGGCGGCGGCGGCGACAGAGGCGGCGGCGGCCGCGACGGCGGCGACCACGGCGGCGTCCACGGCGGCGACGGCGACGGCGGCAGCGACGGCGGCGGGCTCGCGGGTCCCCGCCGCCGCCGCTCACAAAGGCGGGCCCGTGGGGCGCAGCGCAGACGGTGATCCCCTGGGCGCTGGCGGGCTCCCGCGGCAGCTCGGCGTCTGCCGGCGCCGCGGGCGGCAGCGCGAAATCGAACCGCCACTGCTCGCCGCAGCCGCCGGCTGGGAAGATGGCGTCCCCGCTTGCGCCCGACGCCACGCAGAACACCTCGTCGGAGCCCAGCGCGCGGGCGCCGACGCGCGCCGCGAAGCTGCCCGTGTGCTCGAACCCGTCCTCGCCGCAGTTGTTGTTCAACGACACCCGGCTTCGATTCTTGGCGCCGCGGCCGAGGCACACGCTGACCGGCACCAGCGATGTCTCCTCGCGCACCCCGTCGAAGCCGAAGGCGTGGCTGAAGCCGCCGCTGCCGGCGCAGCTGCTGGCAATGCCCAGCTTCGAGAACGAGAGCTCCGGGATTGCCTGGCGCACGCCCACGCAGAACCGCTCGCCTGCGCGGGCCCAGAAGGTGCCCCCGTACTTCCAGTCCAGGTCCTGCCACCTCTCAGGGCATCGCTCGGCCTGCACGATGTGCTGGGTCCAGTACCTCCCCCGGGCGTCTCGGGAGGCCTCGGGAGGCCCACAGGAGCCCGAGCAGGGGCCAACAGCCGCGCAAAACCTGGAACCTCGATCCCCGAATCCTCTGGGCACTTCTCGTTGACGCACCAGGTGACCGGGATCAGCCCCGGCCGGGGCGTCGCGAAAGCGAGCCAGCTGGCCCGATCCACGCTGTCCCAGCCGTCGCCGCCGCAAGCGGCGCTCTGGTACACGCCGTACTTCAGCCCCCCGGTCTTCACCCTGGCGGTGCAGAAGCTGTACGCCACCGCGGGCCGGAACAGCGCGGCGGCCTCCTCGAAGGCCCGCAGGAGATCGCCTGCGCAGAGGGCGCCGCTGCACCAGCGCCATGCCCGGCCCAGGCCGCGGGTCCTCACCGAGGCCGAGGAGGGGGTCTGCCACTCCGGGGGCCAGAACGGCCCTGGCCGGCCATGGTGGTGGTGCACGGGTGCCTCCTACGGATCGCCGACTGGCCGCGGGTCCGCTATGATGAGCCCGTCCGCCGCGGGGTCGACCAGGGACCTGAAGAACACGACCAGCAGCCTCGGAGAGGCGTCCGCGAGCACCTGCCGGCTGCGCGCGCCAGAGCGCAGGAGGAGGAGGAGGAGGGGGAGGAGGAGAAGGAGGAGGAGAAGGAGGAGGAGGAGGAGCAGGAGGAGGAGGAGGAGGAGGAGGAGAGGAGGAGGAGGAGGAGGAGGAGGAGGAGGAGCAGGAGGAGGAGGGGGAGGAGGAGGAAGAGGTGACCTCGTGGCGCGCGGCATCCCGGGGGCCGCGGGGAGGCCGGGCCCAGGCGCGAAAGGCCAGTGCTGGAGGACGCCCGTGCAGGCCGGCACCAGAGGTCACTCCGGCGAGAGGCCACCCTTACTGGAGGCCTCCGGCGCTGGGGTCCGAGTAGGTGGGCTCGGAGGATCGCGCCGCAGCGCCGATACCTCGGCGATGCATCGGCGATGCATCGGCGATGCATCGGCGATGCACCGGCGATGTATCGGCGATGCATTGGCGCCGTCGGCGAGGCGAAAGTCGGGCGCCTCATCGAGCCGCATCGCCGATGCATCGGCGATGCGGCGCAATCCTGCGACCCCATCTACTCCGACCCCATCTAGGAAGGCCTCCCAGGAGGCCCAAAAAGGGGGAACAGGGCGAAGAGTAGAGGAAGGGTAACGGTATGGGTACCTCTCCCCCCTTCGGGGAGACATAAGACTCGGGTTCGGGGGACTCGGGTTGGCCTGACGGGGCCGTCAGGAAAATGACGAGGCCCAGTCTGAAATTTGACGCGAGCTCCCGCTGCAAACGTCCCACGAAACCTAGGCCGTCAAAACCCAGGAAACGCGCTCGTCAAAATGCGTCGGCAAACCCGAGTTCTGGCGTAACCGAGTCTTACGTTCCCCCGACTCCTCTGAGAACATTCGCCCGGTTCATCAATCCACTGGCCCGCAAGCGTCAGATCTCGCACAGGACCGTACTCCCGAGCGACGTTGCGACAGGGAAGCTGGATGGTCCACCAGCGTGGCTACAGGCCGTGGCGGAACGGAGAAAAACGAGGCAAAGAAAGAGGAGCGGTATGAGTCGGCGGTGGACAAGCCTCCCTTTAGTAAACCACTCTGTAGTGAAAAACGACCCAGGACCGAAACCGACGGACCTGGACCCGCAAAAACAACGGCCGCGACGCCCTCTCGCGAACCGAAAACGGCGAATTCACTAATCGACGTGTCAGGGTAGGAGGTCTATCAAACTCCGAATGAGGTATGGGTATCCTCCCCTCCTCTGAGAGCCTTCGCCAGGCCCCGCCGCCGATCCAGCAGCAGGAAGCTGGCACCGGCGGCCCCGGGGCAGTCCCACAGGCGCGCGGGCTGCGCCGCGCGCTGGCGGAGCGAGGCGACGTCCCAGGGGGTCGCGTCGCCGAGCCTCTGGCAGGGGAGCGAACAATGACACGAGCATAAAAAACTCGGAGGTCCGCGCGAATTTCTCGGATCGGCGCTGGGGCCTCCCTGGCGGCGCCTCCGGCGCCGCCCCTGGCGAGCTCCGCGCGCCAGGGAGGAGGGTCCAGCGCCGATCCGAGGAATCCGCGCGGACCTCATCAACGCTTTCTGATTCGGCATTTCGACATTCGGCGGAGGGGGGGGGTCTGGCTCCAGACCTCTGCTTAGCGCGACTGTTTGCAACAGTGCGTCCTATGGAGGAGACTCCACCTGCTTGAAACAGGCGCCCCAAAAAAACACCTAAATCTACTCCATGGAGGGGGGGGAGGGGGAGGAAAGAGGGGGGACGAGGGCCCGCGCTGATCGGCCAAACCATGAATCGGGAAACGATCGCCTCCGAGTTGTTATGTTTGTGTCAAGGTTCGCTCCCCTCTCTGGAGCTCCCACGCGCCGCCGCCCCGCGGTGAGCAGAGGTCGGCTGGCACCGCGAGGAGGACGCCTCGCAGGTCGAAGGCGGCGCGGCCGCGGCGGGCCTTGATGTGGTGGTAGGTGACGCTCGGCGGCGGGCCCAGGGCCAGGCTGCATCCTCGGGGGGCCTGGTCCGCCTCGTCGCGGCCCCGGCCGCGTCGCATCCGCGTCGAATCCATGTCGGACTCGTCGGATCCGCGTCGAATCCGGCTCGACTCCGCGTCGAGCCCGCGCCAAATCCGCGTCGAGTCCGCATCGGGCCCGCGCAGGGCACGAGAAAAGACACCAAGGTTGGGGACAGGAGAGGCCCCCCAGAGGTGCAGCGCGAGGGGGGGGAGCGCAGACGGGGGCAGAAGGCTCGGGAGCCTCGCGCCCTCTGAGGAGTCGCCTGGGCCTCCCTTGGAGGCAGAGGCGGCTTCCTCCAGGGCCAGGGGGCCTCTGAGAGGCCACGCTGCCTTCTGACCCAGACTAAAACGACGCGAAGATCGGGACAAAATCGGATCGGGATAACTCGAAATCTCTGAGAATCGGCGGGTTTGGAGGATGTATTGGGCGCCGCGGCCGCTCCAGAGCGTTCCGGAACGCTCTGAGAGCGCTCCGGAACGCTCTGGAGCGATTTATCCCGATCCTAGCCCTGTTTTACAGACCCCTGACGTCACAACTTGCTCGGCCCATTCCACATAACCGGCCTTTCATGCTGGATTGTCTTTTGACCGTCCTAGGGCCGGCAAGGGCCCCCTGAGGCCGAAACTATGGCGAAATGCCTCCCGTCTCAATTGTTTCACGACGCGAGGGGGTCTGGCCCCATCTCTCACTTGCCCCCTGGGCTCGCCGCCGAGATGCCGTGGGTTGCGGAGTCCGTGGTGTCCACGGAGGTGGACAGGATGCGGAAAGCAAGATCCTGCAGACCGTCAGCCCTCCACCGCGGGTGGTCCCTGCGGATCTCCTCCAGCTGCTTGAGGTTCCGCTCGTAGGCCTTGCTGTCGGTTATCCTCTTGGTGTGGTTCGCGCTGTGCATGTACTTCCCGCTGAACACCCCGTGGCCCTTGTGGAGGGCAGACACAATCCACCCCCACGATAAGCACCCCGACAGGCGAAGCCGTTTAGTGAGCGCGCCCAAGGAAGCAACCGAACAGGGCCGGGCTATTTCGTACACGCCCACGGCCGTTTGGTAAACGCCAATTGTCGGTGTCTAGGTGGCGTCTCCTCCCTTGACCTTACTCGGGCGCTTGATGGAGTACCCCGGCTTGCCCTGCCTCTTGTCCCCTGCCGTGCAGAAAGGGTAGCAGTCGCCGCGCAGGAGGCTGTTTATCCTCAAGCGATGGAAGAGCTCGTCGTCCTCGCCCCCCCAACCAAAATAGTTGTTGCCGAAGCCATTGATCTTGCGCCAGTGCTCCGGGCTCATGCCGACGATCCCGCCCGCGCTCTCCAGGTACGGCACCTTGCCGTTGAAGCGGTCGATCTCCGAGCTGAGCTGCATGGGCACTTTGCAGTCCGAGTAGTCCACCCCCGCCTCTGGCAGGTAGTCGATGTCCTCCGAGCGAGGGAGACAGAAACAGCAAACTGCACAAACGCTCGGATGCCCCCGCGATTTTCGTGAGTCGGCGCTGGATCACCCCTGGCGGCGCCTCTGGCGCCGCCCCTGGCGCTCTCCGCGCGCCAGGGGAGGGGCACCCAGCGCCACTCATAAAACCCGTGCGGACCTCCCGGGGTCTGTGTTTGATTGCCTCTTCCTTTCCGACAGAAGGAGGCCTTGCGCACTCGGCGGACCCTGCGACACGCTGTGCCCTGCAAGCTGACAGCGTGTCGCTCTGGCATGCTGGCGCGGGCCGCTGGGGGCCATGGTCGAGCTTCAGCCTCCGCGGGCCCATGATGACGATCTGAACACGGAGAAGGGAAAGGAGGATAAGGAGGATGAGGATGATGAGGAGGATGATGATGAGGAGGATGACGATGAGGATGAGGATGAGGATGATGGTGATGGTGATGATGATCGTACGTAGTTGCGCTCAAGTTGATGATGATGATGATGAGGAGGAGGAGGAGGAGGAGGATGATGATGATGGTGATGGTGATGGTGATGGTGATGGTGATGGTGATGGTGATGGTGATGGTGATGTGATGATGATGGTGATGATGATGGATGATGATGCTGATGATGATGATGAATGATGATGATGATGAAGATGATGAAATGAGCTGTTAAGATGATGATGATGATGATGAAATGAAGAAATGATGATGATGATATGATGATGATGATGATGATGATGATGATGGCGAGATGATGATGATGAGGGGGAGGAGGAGGAGGAGGAGGAGGAGGAGGAGGAGGAGGAGGAGGAGGAGGAGGAAGAGGAGGAGGAGGAGGATTATGAGCAGGAGGATGACGACGACGACGACGAGGTGCCCTGCCCGACGCAGAGCCAGAGCGCCGGAGCGGAGCGCGGAGGGGCGCGCTGGGGGGAGGCGCTGGAGACGCCGCCCGGTGCCGCCCAGTGGGGTCCAGGCGCCGGTCCAAGGGAGCCGCGCGGACCTCCGAAAATTTACTCCAGATTTCGTAATAAAGGGAGGGTGGTCTCATTTCGGGAGAGGGGTCTCTTCCAGGCTATCTTGGAGGGCCTGGGGGGTCTGGGGACGATGTTTTGGAGGGTTCTCCCAGGGGGGGGGTCTGAAATGGCTTGTCTTGGAGGGTCCAGACCCCCTCCCTGTTATTACGAAATCTGGAGTACGCCTGCGCCGCTTCTCTCGAGACGAGGCCAGGACGAGGACGAACTCGGGGGAGGATAGACCGAGAATCTCTGAGATCCGGTGGTTCTGGAGGATGTCTCGGGCGCCGCAGCCTTCTCAGAGCGTTCACGCACTGCGAGCGTTCCGGAACGCTCTGGAACGGACTTATCTTCGTCCTAGCCCCGTCCGATCGCTTCTTCCGAAGCGACAGGTTTGGCGCACAAGTGGGCAGCCACACGTGAACCCCACTTCCGCAGGTCAGATTTCTGAGAGACCCGCTGGGGCTCGGAATTGGAGGGATGCCTGCTGCCAGGTGAATCGGCGGAGAGCGAAAGAAAGAAATGAGAAGGAGAAGGCCTGCTCAGAAGACGGCGGGACTTCTCAGAAGGCATCGGGCCTTCTGAAAAGTTGTTCTGCTTTCGGGGAAGGCTTAGAAAACTTCTCAGAAGGCTGGGGGACTTCCCAACCTTCTGAGAAGGCCTTCTCCTTCTCACCCCCCCCTCGCTCGCCGCCGAGTCAACTCCAGCGGGGGTGTCCGATGCCGACACCCCAGCGTCGAGTGGACCTACCCGGGCAGGGATCGCAGGTGGTCGCAGAATGGGGGCGCAGCGTCACTGCGCCGACCCTGCAGACGTGCCAAAACCCCGGAACGGCGAGCGACCACAAACGAAGTGAAGTCCACGTGGATCGTTTGAAGTCCTCATCCCTGGCCCAAGAACAAAAAAAAACGTACGGAATTCACCTCGAAATCTGGCACGATATTTTCTCCAGGACAGTCCTGGCCCATCCCGTTGCTTTCCGAACGACATCCGCGCTGGCGATACTGGCGCCACGAGCAGCGGCCCTTGCGCGGGTGGCCGACGCCGGGCCGCCGACCGCAGCGGAAACCGACGCGGAAAGGAAACGGGAGAGCGCGCCCACGCGCGACACACGCGCCAGGCGCGTATGCCGCGCGAGTCCGCGCGGTCACTTCCTCCTCCTCCTGTCCTCCTCCTCCTCCTCCTCCTCCTCCTCCTCCTCCTCCTCCTCCTCCTCCTCCTCCTCCTCCTCCCCTCCTCGTCCTCCTCCTCCTCCTCCTCCTCCGCCTCCTCCGCCTCCTCCTCCTCCTCCTCCTCCTGCTCTTCTCCCGTTTGCATGCGTCGCTGCTTATGTCGGTGTGCACGCGAGGATACAGTCAAGCTACGTACTACGATAAGGGATACTATACGAGGAGCGCGGGAAGAACAGCCATCCATGGAAGGACCCAGAGAACAGCGACCCCTTCCGAATCCGAAACGTTCCTCAGTTCAACGCATTGGCGTGAAGGGGCCCAGGGACACACAAATGAATAGACGCAAATCCAAAGATCCCCCCCACATGTTCCATACCTCCTGGTTCTTCGTATTTCCCCCCCCTCTCCCTTTCCCACTGCTCCCCTGTGTTCCTGGGGATCGACGAGTCTTTGTGTCTGCGTGTCAATCCACCTCTTGATGGCTGTACAATAGGGGCCCGACCACAAGAAACCTTCCACAAGAAACCCCAACCCTGAGACCCCAGGACGTCCACTGACTCTTGGTGTGGGAACGCCACGACTTCCACGGCAAAACCATCGAAACCCAGGGCACCCAGGGCACCCTGGAGGCCAGCAGGGTGTTTCGTGGCGTGGGTCTCCACTGTAGGTGTGGGGAGGGGGGGGGTCGCGGCTGTCCCCCTACAGGGGGAGTTTGGACGAAACAGAAGAATACCCCCAAAATGCTCCCAGAGGGTCGAAGACAGTCAGGAAGCCGCCCCCAGACTCTTTTCTGGGGGGCCTTCCAGAAAGGCGCCCCTCCGACTCCAAGGCAGGCCGCCCCCGTGCCCTCGGAGCGGGGCCCCCGCAGCAGCCTCCAAAGGAGGAGGGGCCTGTCTCTCTCTCCGGCGGCGGGCCAGGGGGGGGGGGGGGGGGGGGGGGAAAATAGGGAGGAAGATGCGGAGGGGGGGGGGAATTAAGGGAGGAGAATTATGGGGGAATTGGGGAGGAGGAGGAGGCGGAGGGGGGGGGTAATAGGGAGGAGGAGGCGGAGGAGGAGGCCTCCTCTCAGAAGGCAGCGGGGCTTCTCGGAAGCCCTCGCGCCTTCTGACAAGCTGTCGGCGTCCTCGGGGTAGGCTCCGAAAGCTTCTCGGGAGGCCGGGGGGCTTCCGAGCCTTCTGAGAAGGCCCGCCCCTTCTCACTTCCCCCCCTCGCTCGCCGCCGATCTCTCTTTCCCTCTCTCTTTCTCTCTCCTCTTTTGTTATGTTCTCTCCGTGTATCTCTCTCTCTCTCTCTCACAGAAAGAGCGAGAGAGAGAGAGAGAGAGAGAGAGACAATTATCGGATTGGGCGGATGAGGTCGGGAAGATACGGGGCACGACTATGTACTGAGCACGCTCGACATACGCGATAATACGGATGATCGGATCATCTCTCCCGACCCAATCCTCACAACCCGACAATTGTCTTTCTGCCCCTCTCCTGACCGCAGCAACCATACGTGAACTCTACTTGGCGGCGCGCTCAAGAGGGTAGGGGGAAGCGGAGGGGGGAAGGCTTCTTAGGAGGAGGCCGCTTCTTAGAAGGCGCCGGCCCTACACCCACAGACAAGGCCCGCGCCTTCTAAGAAACAGGGGTGCTTCTAATAAACCTTCCCCCCTCCCCCATACCCCTCTCTGCACGTGGCCGATCTACCCTGCAGCTCAGGTTTCTGACAAGCTGGTGGAAGTCCAGACTTCGGAACAATTTCTGCAGCCCGGTCAACTCGGCTACACGCAGG